ACTGTAGGATTACGGTAGCTGATGAGAAATTATCACAAACCTTGCCAAGCTCAGTAAGTTTCTGTCGCTCTTCCTCCATAGCTGCCTTAACGGCTTGAAGCTCCTCCTCAGCGGTGCTGGCAACTTTTCCTTCTTCAAATTCCTGTAAACTCATAATTTCGATTTCCGCTTATGAACAAACTTCTGCTCAGGACTTCCTGTACTGGAGTATCCCTCACCTGCTTCATTTTCTTTATCTCTGCTGCCTGTTTGAGTTGTTCCAGTTCTTCAATTCGAGCTTCATCTTTCACGGGTCCTTTACTTTCCGCAATCGCAGATTTCTGTAAAAAACAGTTTATAGACCTTTAATAAAATTCTTTTTTCATTTAAGGAATAAATCGCCTGAACTTGTAATTTTGCAAGTTTGCGAAATATATGGCTGATGCTAAAAACGGCTAGCTACGCAAGATTTGGAAGAAAAACCACGACGGTGATATATGTTTCCCTAAATTTTTTCTCAGTCAGCCTACAAGGAAAGAGGTCCCAAAATGTCGAAAAAAAATGTTTTTTAAGAAAGAAAATAATCTTCATCAAGGAGAAAATCTGTGAAGATGCCTGCAATGAAAAGTCAGCTCCAGGAACTCCTGCTGCCGTTTCCGTCTCTACTGCTACAAAGCGCAATTCATATTTGATAACTTACGAACAGGAAGGGCCATTTGCTTAGCATTTAATGTGGCCAAGAAAGGGAAATGAAGAAAAAAATTATTGACGATGATTGTGACATGCAGTATTTGACACGGCTTGGACCCAGTTGCTATGACAGTGCGCGTTCGGGGAAAAAAATTTGGGTAGCAAAACAATTCACCTTATATAGCAACATGCTAATGGTTAGAAAAGAAAGAAAATCGCTACTAAGCAAGTTTTTCTATATGCATAAGCAAGACAAAAACATTCCAAAAATTGTGTTCTTTTCTGTATCATGGTTTTCAAGATTTGATACTTGTAAGAAGAAAATCACAGCGCCTTGGCCTTGCCGACAAATGCTATGGGCATAACGCGTACAAGCAGATGATAATACTTCTGTATTTTCTGTTTAGTAGAAAGAAAAAACACTAAAGAATTCAGTAAAATCAAAGACCGCCAGCGATATGCGCATTCGAACTGTTATTTCCAGCTGATCTCTCTACTGTAGGTTAGATTCCAATTTCAAAACTATGAAAAAATTCATACGTTTTCAAAACATGTTGAAAAAATGTTTGATCTGCATACTCCTATACATAACTGTTTGATC